ACGTACTAAGCATATTGATATTAGGCATCATTTTATTTGTGAACTTGTTGAGGCGAAACTGATTGTGGTTGATCATGTGAGTACATAATTTCAACTGGCTGATTTGTTTACTAAACCATTGGATTTTAACAGATTCGTGAATCTGAGAAAATCCATTGGGATTTGTGAGATCTAACTTTCTCTATGAGTTGTGCTGATCTAAGACAGGGACTGGAGCAAGAACAGACCATGGAAATCCTAAGAATGAATAGAAGATCAGCATCCTGTACTTTGGTTTAAAGAGAGTGGAAAATAGCTGCCTGTCATGCCAACTCTTGTGGACATTCCTGTAAAACGTTGTCGTGATAACGGAGGTCAAAGAGCTGAGGAGAGGTGGAAGTGTGCATGTCACGAGATATACTTGGAATTGTGATACATCAACAATTCAATTCCAGTAATCTATTAATGGAGCTCTGAATACGCTATTGAAGACATGCACAAGGATCAGTGGTTGAGAAGTCAAGTGATATCATTGATCCACAAATCAGAAGGTTTAACAGAGGCTTGGTCAAAAATCAACGTTCTGAGAGAAGGCTCTGCCTGACTGTTAAATCATAGCTCCACAGGTAGTGTGTTAAAAAAAAAAAAAAAAAAATAGTAAAAAAAATAAATAAATAAAAAAAAAAGAAAAAGGGTTTAACACACTCCTGGTCCTGCACTCTCCAAAGGGTATTCCAGCTGCCTGTTCATGTTGGGTTTGGAAGCTTGAGTTGAAGGTATGCCAGAGTGAAAGACTAGCCACTGAACTCAGAGCTGATCTGTCGAAGATTCAGAAGGTTGTGGTAGTTTCTAGCTCTGTCCTGAACAATTGGTTGGCACAGAACACAGAAGAGAGAGAGACTCAAGGTACATGTTTTTGAATGATTTTATGATAATACTTCCAAGTGCTCACATGTTGATTATCATTCTGGGTCCCTAAAGCATGTTCATGAGTAGAGTGAGTCCTGTTTAAAAGAAAAGCGTTTGAGGTTCTGGTTTGAACTCAAGAATGTAGACAATATCTAATGCAAAGTGGATTTGAGGCTTTGTTGA